CTCTCAAGTAGCTGGACTACAGGCATGCGCCACCACGTCCAGCAAATTTTTGTATTTTTAGTAGAGATGGGGGTTCACCACGTTAAGCAGGTTAGCCTCGAACTCCTGACCTCAAGCGATCCGCCTGCCTTGACCACCCAAAGTGTGGGGACTACAGGTGTGAGCCACTGCACCCAACCTTTACATATTTTCTACCTCAAATTTACCTTTTTTTCTGATATGTAATCTAATATAATTTGGCTTAATAGCAAGCCATTCTGAAGCATAATTCCCATTTAACACCAATAATTGGTATCAGCAAGGATCTCTTGATATTCCAGGAGTTCAAGACCAGCCTGGCTAACACAGCAAAACCCCGTCTCTACTAAAAATACAAAAATGGGCCAGGCACAGTGGCTCATGCCTTAATCCCAGCACTTTGGGAGGCCAAGGCAGGCAGATTACCTGAGGTCGGGAGTTCGAGACCAGCCTGAACAACAAAGAGAAACCCTGTCTCTACTAAAAATATAAAATTAGCCAGGCATGGCAGTGCATACCTGTAATCCCAGCTACTTGGGAGTCTGAAGCAGGAGAATTGCTCGAACCCGGAGGCGGAGGTTGCGGTGAGCCAAGATCGCACCATTGCACTCCAGCCTGGGCAACAGGAGCAAGACTCTGCCTCAAAATTAATTAATTAATTAATTAATTAATTAATTAAAATACAAAAATTAGCCAGGCATGATGGTGGGCGCCTCTAATCCCAGCTACTTGGGAGGCTGAGACAGGAGAATCACTTGAACCTGGGAGGCGGAGGTTGCAGTGAGCTGAGTGAGATCGCGCCACTGCACTCCAGCCTGGGCAACAAAGAGCGAAACACTGTTTCAAAAAAAAAAAAATCTCTGACATTGAAAATTCATGGTTTGGGAATACACAATCTTGCCACCCTATCTTCCGCACAAATTCAAGTCACTGGCAAAGAAACACAATTGTAACATGAAGCCAAATCTCTCTCACCATTTCATTAGGAACATTAAATCACCACAGGAATCTGTTGCCCCAATGATCTTTTCTGGTTCCAGTCCTCTCTCAAAGCCCCGAGCGATATCATTGCTCTGCTATAAATAGAAGACGAAGAAAGGTTACAGCTTATGGAAAGAGTAAAGAAACTCCCTGTTTCTAGGCTCAACAAAACACAACCTAAGTTAATATCTCCTGATATCATTTCTGTCACCAATTCAGAAAAATTTTTAGAACTTAATACTAAGTACTGACAGTGACAATGAAGTGACAGTGATGCCAAGAGATATTTTTGTAAGATGTGATTATCGGCCAGGCACGGTAGCTCAAGCCTGTAATCCCAGCACTTTGGGAGGCCGAGAGGGGCAGATCACGAGGTCAGGAGATCGAAACCATCCTGGCTAACACGGTGAAACTCCGTCTCTACTAAAAAATACAAAAAACTAGCCGGGCGAGATGGCGGACGCCTGTAGTCCCAGCTACTCGGGAGGCTGAGGCAGGAGAATGGC